GGGCAAGCTGGGTTACATTGAGAGAAATGAATGGGCAAGCTGGGTTACATAGAGAGAAATGAATGGGCAAGCTGGGTTACATGGAGAGAAATGAATGGGAAAGCTGGGTTACATGAAGAGAAATGAATGGGCAAGCTGGGTTACATTGAGAGAAATGAATGGGCCGAGGTAGCATTGACTAGGCTGGCTTGTTTACTGAGGAGAAATGACTGAGCCAGCTGGGGTATCTAGGGACAAATGACTGGGCAAGATGGATTCATAAGAAGAAATGACTGGACAGATTGGTTACCTAGAAAGAAATGACTGGAAAAGCTGGGTTACCTAGAGAGAAATGTCTGGGCAAGCTGGGTTACATTGAGAGAACTGAATGGGCAAGCTGGGTTACATTGAAAGAAATGAATGGGCAAGCTGGGTTGCATAGAGAGAAATGAATGGGCAAGCTGGGTTACATGGAGAGAACTGAATGGGCAAGCTGGGTTACATGGAGAGAAATGAATGGGCAAGCTGGGTTACATAGAGAGAAATGAATGGGCAAGCTGGGTTACATGGAGAGAAATGAATGGGCAAGCTGGGTTACATTGAGAGAAATTAATGGGCCGAGGTAGCATTGACTAGGCTGGCTTGTTTACTGAGGAGAAATGACTGGGCCAGCTGGGGTACCTAGGAAGAAATGACTGGGCCAGCTGGGGTACCTAGGAAGAAATGACTGGGCTACCTGGGATAATCACTTGAAAAATCTATTAGGTTTACGTAGGGGGGCGGCACAGACTGGAATCTATCTAGGTAGATATATTAGTGACCTCAATAAGATAAAATCACTGGCCAGGCTGGTCTTAGTGAGAATTGCCTTGATGAAACATGATCAATGCAAACTGAGATCTAATCCTGTTGCGTTCTGTAATTTATGAATGTGTGAGTAAAAAAAGAACAGAGAAATATACTACTGTAAAATACTTTATTCTAGCTGGAAATAATTTCCCTGAAAAGACTTTTTAGGTGTTTTGTATGGAATTTGTATGGGTTTTTGACGAGTTGAATGTAAAATATGGGAAAATTGGTATAGTCACTGGATTTTATTTTCACTGAATCATCCCTTCAGCAAAAATAGCGACAATTAATTCCGAGTGAAAATAAAGTAATTTACGCTAGTTAACATGTCAATACCAATAGCCAATACCTTGTTCATTATCAATGGGATATCTCCATAATTTTCCTTCCTTTGTCCATTGTATCATTTCATCAAAGCCATTTCTTATAGGTGAAGTCTCCAAAGCATGTAATTGTTTCTCTGCCTCAACATCCCATATTGATATAGGCTTCTCATCAACTGTAACAAAATATCAAATACTGTCACCTTTTGTATTCATTTTGTAGTGGTGTTTAGTCGCAAGTGTTAATCTTATTGCATATACATTAGATTATAGTATACATAATTGGGTGATATGTTTTGTAGCATAATTAAGCATGTTGCCAATACAGGCTGTGATTGGTCACTTCAATTAATTAAAATATTTTAAACTTCACACGTGTGTGTCACTTGGAAGGTATTCGTACTACCTTCCATGCTTTGCAAGACAGCACATTGTTGCTGTGTATTGGTCGCTGTCAGTTTGAGTCGACTGTGTTCATGCTCACTGTGAGTTGAGTTACAATCAAAACCCTGGTTTAAAGTAAAGTTCTTGTGAGTGAAATTTAATTTTAATGGTTTCTGAATTGACTGACTGGTCCAAGTTACCATGTTTATTATATGAAGTCTTGACCTTGTGTCAATAGTCAAAGCGTGAGCGAGTCGTTGAATCATGACGAGATAGAATTTGATAGCTGTTATTTGCATACACAATATCATAAGCCTGAAATGCATCTAATTGTGTAGTGTAGTAAATTAATTTGCTATTACCATTTATTTATTTGACCATAAACAACTGTGTAGTGTGGAGCACACTTTGAACATGGTATAGTGGTGTCAACAAAGATTACTTGAGCACATTGTTACATTGTGTTTAGTCAACTACCGAGTAATGTCAACTACTGAGTAACTGGTGGTGTACACCATCGTAAGGGAATGAGGAGTCTAGGTATAGATCCTGACATGGAAAAAGTCAGAAAGAAATTGATGGATAGTGGATGCAGAACAGAACAATTACTTGTAATTTTGTGAGTTCATTGGAAATAGTAGTGATCATTTGTTTCATTAGATTACCGGTAATATAACATTGTTTTGTTGAGCTGCGTATTCACACATTAATGCATAGAGTTATTTTGAGTCAGGCATAGCCAAATTACACTTTGCTGCTTCACGTAATTGAATGGGATTTGTAACATGTTTTTGTTTTGTATTAAATAGTATTGTGAACATTTGATATTGATTTGTTACTCATTGTACATGATTATGAATGTTGCATATACCCAGGTACTCATCAATTGTCAGGATGGTGTAAGAAACATTAAATTAGTTGATGATTAATTGTTATTAGCATCATACCTTGGTCTTCAATTTTATCTAATACAGGATTAAAAATATTCAATCTCTTTCGATCAAATAATGTTCTTCTGTTGAAAAAAAAAATCATTTATTATTAATTAATTCCCAACATGGGAAGGAATAATAATGCAGAATGTTGAAAAAAATGTGTCAACTTCGTCTTCATGCGTCTTCATTATGTCAGACGTGTTCATGTTATGTTCAAGTAAATGTTAGAAGGTCTATATCATGTTGTATGAGCTTGTATAATAGTAGATGTACTCATGTAACATTAGATAATGAGTTGCAATGTTATTTAAGTTTGTATATGTATAGTGCTTAATGTAATCAAATGATGTGTGATGGGTTTATGTCAATGAAATAAGTGTGTTTCCGGGAACATTGAAAACAAAAGTAGGCTAGGTACCGGTAGGTAGGAATAATTTGTATCCTTATCATAACTTATTTTATAAAAATTGTTAATTATTTTCAATTTATTAATCTGCAGTGCTACTTGGCCCATACTGTTATATGACACATCTTGCATGTACAGGTTGAAGAATTTCTGTTAGAGCGGAAAGGTGTACACTGTACCTGCAAGTGCACATTTGCCAATTTGACTATAAAAAGATACAGGGTCAGCCTGAAAAATCTAGGCAAAGTCGAAAATGGACTATTATTACCAGAAATGCATTATTTTTTTATTTTGCCTAATGTTAGAGTTCATGTAATGTTACATGTACATGTATTTATATATTGACAGATGTGTTCATAAAATGACAGATGTGTTCATGCAATGACAGATGTGTTCACAAATGACAGATATGTTCATAAAATGACAGATGTGTTCAAGCAATGACATGTGTTTATAAATGACAAATGTGTTCATAAAATGACAGATGTGTTCATGTAATGACAGATGTGTTCATGCAATGACAGATGTGTTCATAAAATGACAGATGTGTTCACAAATGACAGATGTGTTCATAAAATGACAGATGTGTTCAAGCAATGACATGTGTTTATAAATGACAAATGTGTTCATAAAATGACAGATGTGTTCATGCAATGACAGATGTGTTCATAAATGACAGATGTGTTTTTAAATGACAGTTGTGTTCATAAATGACAGCTGTGTTCATAAATGACAGATTTGTTCATAAATGACAGACGTGTTCATAAATGACAGATGTGTTCATAAAATGACAGATGTGTTCAAGCAATGACATGTGTTCATGGATGTAAAATGACAAATGCGTGATTTATATAATCTTACATTTCCAACATACCGTAAAAACTCGATTAATTCGTGGTAGTAAAAATAATTATTTTTTCAAGTGCACGAATTAATAGCGTAAAAACGGAAATTATTGGTTTTTGGTGCGCGAATTAAAAGAGTACTTTTTGATCGATTCAAAAAGGAGCTGTTTTCATAAATTTATTAGTGATTTGTTTTGTTTTCCAATGAACATGATTACAGGACGTTTTTTTAGTGCCTCTGAGATTTGTGGCTAGCGACATTCATGGCGTATAGTCGGGCAGAGAACACGCACTGCGTCAAGGACCACGCACCATGTTACACTTGAAATGAAACAGTGAAAT